GCAACAGCCTCAGACTGCCTCATTATACGGATGGCTCTGATTTTGTGATATCATAGTGAACATCTAGAAATGTAAATTCTGCATAAGCAGTACCCTGAAAATGTACGTTTTTGTCTGAAATGATAGCTGTGCACTTCCTGGTATGTGAGTTTGCCTAGGCACCCCTGCACTGAAGCCTTATAGCTGTATATCTGCAGTGTGAGATCTAAGGCACTGCTGCTTCTGCTCCTTGGATCAGCAAAGTTCACCAACCCACAGAGACAGCTGTCTTTTTTTCCCTCTCCCCACCCCTCTCTCATACACATCTCCCCGCCTGGCTCTTACTAACCAGGCATGCTCTGGCCAGTGTCCCGCCAAGCTCATAGCAACCAGTGACATCACTGAATGCCAGGGGCGCAATTTGCTGTAGATATGCCCCTTCCCCCCCTCCCCCCAAACACACACATATATACATTTTATTACACAGTCTGAAATGAGAACTGTCAGTGTTCCATCTCGGGAAACCAGTCTGATTCAGATCTGCACCGGCAATATTAAATCCGTATGTTAACGGTGCGGAGGAACACCCTGCTCATATTTCAGACAGTTGGATAAACGAGATCCGGCGTTAGAATCTTCTATCTCAACCATTTTACATCCAGCCGCAATTTTAAAGTCTTGTTTTCGTATCGACCGCTCGCATATTGATAAAACAATTCTCTGAATTTACAGTCGGAGCCTGGGAAAAAAACGTAGCAGAGTATTAAAAGTTAGTGTATCGTATCCAGAGCGTGCAAAGGAGTGATGGTGGTGAGAGGGGGGGGGGGGGTCCGCATAGCATTTAACATGGAATATGATCTTTTTCTGAGGGTTCAATGAATCCTTATTGCAAAGGTCTCTATAAGGATTTCACATACATGGACATAAAAGTAACACAAAGACTACGTGGCCTACAGTTTTGGACACTTGGCCATCAAACTTACAGTATAGAGTTTGCTGAACACCCCCATTTTAAACATAAGAAAACAAGAAGACCTAGTGCAATAATCCTTTTTAAAGGAGAACTATGAGGTGAGTGCTTTTCACTCACCTCATAGTTCTAGCCGACCCGTGACAATGACACTGTCACAGGTCGGCTCAGTAGATCGGGAGGTGAGCGAACACATACCGGCGTTCGCTCACTTCTCGATCCTGTCACGGCTCTCTGCCGTGACAGGGGAGGGGCTGGATTCCCCCCTCCGATCCGCCAGCGCTGACTGGCGGAACGGACGGGGGAGGGTACAGCTGGCTCTGCCTCTAGATAGGCAGAGCCAGCTGTCAGTCACGCAGCTGGGCGGATCCAGACATAATTGTCGGGATCCGCTTCAGCTGCGGCGTCTCAGTATACCACGAGCAGTAGCTGAGTAGCAGTAACTGAGCCTATGGTGACGGGAGGACGCTAGTTTGTGTCCTCCCGTTACCCTAAGGAGAACTATGGTGAAAAGCCTTAACCCCACAGTTCTCCTTTTAATAATGAAATAAAATACAATCGGATATACTCCCAAAAGGAGCAACAATGAACATCAAATGGACTGGTAGTCCTCGATGGATAAACTGCTGTGGAGGTGAATAATCCAGGAGCTCTGCTGAACCGCAGAGTCACGCTACCTCTTGTACCTCTCACGCTCCTGGATTATTCACCTCCACAGCAGTTTATCCATCGAGGACTACCAGTCCATTTGATGTTCATTTTTGTTCCCTTTTGGGAGTATATCTTATTGTATTTTTTATTTCATTTATTAAAAAGGATTATTGCACCAGGTCAGGCGCCCGGTGTTTTCTTATGTTTTTATGCAGTGTTCCGGATCCCTTATCTGTAACGGGCGGCCGTGCTGGATTCCAGGGAGTTTCTGTGGCCACAGGAGGGTTCTTTTGGCGCTTGTCTTTTTTTTGGTTTTGGAACCCCAATTTTAAACCATGAGCATTAATATGGCTTCCCATTTGCAGTTCTAGAACCATTCACTACTCTAGGGGTGTGTCTATGGGAATTTCTGCCCCTTCATCCCAAAGAGTTTTTGCGAGGTCAGGTCGTGGTGTTGGATGAGAACATAGATGGAAGTGAATGTAAGGCAAAGGGCCACACTATTTGGCCTAAAGTTTTGGACACTTGGCCATCAAACCTATATGAGTGGCTGAACACCCCATTTTTAAACCATGAGCACTAATATGGCTTCCCATTTGCAGTTATAGAACCATTCACTCTTCTTGGAAGTCTTTCCACAAGATGTTGGGGTGTGTGTGTATGAGAATTTCTGCCCCTTCATCCCGAAGAACATTTGTGAGGTCAGGTCCTGGTGTTGGATGAGAACACAGATGGACGCAAAAAGTAAGGCAAAGGACTACACTATCTGGCCTAAAGCTTTGGACACTTGGCCATCAAACCTATGAGTGGCTGAACACCCCAATTTTAAACCATGAGCACTAATATGGTTCCCCACTTGCAGTTTTATAGAACCATTCACTCTTCTAGGAAGTTTTTCTACAAGATGTCGGGGTGTCTATGGGAATTTCTGGCCCTTCATCCAGAAGAGTTTTTGCGAGGTCAGATCCTGGTGTTGGATGAGCAGACCTGGTTCACAATTGGTGTTCCCACTCATCCCAAAGGTGTTCAGTAGGGTTGAGGTCAGGGCTTTGTAAAGGAGACTTGAGTTCCTCCACACCAAACTCATCGAACCATTTCTTTATGGAGCTGGCTTTGTACACAGAGGCACAGTCATGCTGGAACAGAAAAGGGGCCCTCGCCAAACTGTTACTCCCAAGGTTGGAAGAGCACACTTGTCTAAAATGTCTTTTGTATATTGTAGTCTTAACACATGAACTCAATAATTTGGAGGGTTGTCCATACCTTTGACTATATCATGTGTGTGTGTATATAGACTCAGTTCACAAAGTTATAATGATCAATATTTTCAGCAGTAAGCGTTGGAAATACCAACCGTATGCTCACAAATAATGACCACATTGGAAAAATAAATTATGCATTGAAGTTTACATACCAAGTGCTGTAAGCCATGGCAACCAGTTAATGGCAAGTTAGCCATATGCTGGAAAAGCCTTTTTTATTGCAGTATGATTTTGAATTGTGGGGAAAACTCTCAAGGTAGAGCATACAAACTCCATGCAGATAGTGCCCTGGGTAGCATTGAAAGCCGGAGTTGCAAAGCAGGAATGTTAACCCCCCAAGCCACAGTGCTAAAATTGTTATCTTAACCAAGAACATTATTTTATCACTTGTGATAAGCTGCTGCTGGATCCTTTCCAGATATGCTTGTAGATGTTATTTCCTCTTTAGTTCTACTCCGTATGTACTATAGTAACTCTATACTGGCATTGAAATGTATGTCTGTGCATCTGGGGGGTGTATCAATTAGTCTCTTATGCGTGCTGAGTTATATTTTCTCTCTGTGTAGATTACAGATGAAGAATGTGGGGAAAGATCCCCGTCTCTCCCTGGCACTCCAGTTCCCCCAATGCCTTCTGCCCCACCTACCCCACAGGCTCCTTCTGCCCCACAGCAACCACCTACCTCCCTCCCACAGACACAGCTTCTCCTCGCTGGCAGCCAGCTTGCTGGGGTAAGTTCCTGTTTTCTTTTCTTGCACAAGCATTGTATTACGTTTGAAGGAATATAGGACAAAGCTTGCCAACCATTTCAGCAAAGAGTTGGGAACAGTGACGAGTTGGGTACAGTGACGATGTTCTACCAATTGGTACAGTTTTTAGTGCTAGACAACAACTTGGAGGGGAAGAAGAGTAGGTAAAAGATAGACAGAAATGTAGGCAAAGTCGGCCAAGGGCCTAGGCTGGGGTATGCTAAGTAGTATATAGGAGGTAAGGGGCCTCCTTTGGGGAGGCAGTACAAGGCTGCATGAAAATGTACAGAGGGATTGAGAAATTTGGATGATCATATGGGGCTGGGGGACGAAGGGAAGGGTGGGGAAGGTTGGGAGAGGGTAGAACTTTGGGGGGAAGGGGGCAGTGGAGGGGAAGAAAGGCAAAATGGGCCAGAGGCCTAGGCAAGTACTGGGGCATGCTAAGTAGTATACACTGAGTGGCCAGTTTATTATGACCACCTGACGTTTGTAGGCAAATTAGCTATAATTTGGCGCTGAAGTTGCTAGAGGGCCAGACCATTATAAATAGGGAATCAGGTTGTTTACCACGACTGTAGAAGTGATTTGTTTCTGAAGATACGGGGAAACAACGCGATTTAACAGCCTTTGAACGTGGGATGATTGTTGGCGCTCTGAGCCATGGAGCGAGTATCAGCAAGACAGCAGAATTCGTTAAATGTTCAAGAGCAGCTGTTGTTAAAGTGTTTAAAGACTGGACTGTCAGCCGAAAATCTGGGTCTGAACGTGCGAATTGTGGCCGTCAGCGACTAGTCAATGTTAGGGCAGAACGGAGTGTGGCAAGACTGGTACAAGACAACAGAAGGGCGACAGTGCAGTGTCAGATTCCTCGCATCACTTTTCAACATCTCGTGGAGTCACCAGGCGGCCCAACGAAGTACTGATGGGGTGTTCATAATAATCTGGCCACTCAGTCTATAGAAGGCAAGAGACCTCTTTAGGAGGTAGTACTGGGCTATGTGAAAATGTATGGAGATTGGAGAGGATGAGAAATTTGGATGGTTATGGGGAGCTGGGGGGGCAAGGGAAAGGGTAGGACCAGAAGAAGGTGGGTGGAGAAGGAGGAAGGGAAATTTGGGGCAAGAAAAAGCGGAGAGTGAGAAGCATGAGAAACCGGAGAAATAGGGGCAAGAGGAACATAGAGAAGTTGGCAAGGAGGGAAGGCGCATAGGAGAGAGAGAACAAGGATAAAAAAAAAAATAGGGAATGCCAAACTTTTAGAAATCGATCATGCCCGTCATTTAATGGCCATTTGTTTCTCATTGGACATGTTAGGAATGTTATACTTAGTATAGCCTCTAGGGGGGAGCCTGACATCACATCAGCTGACCACACAAGGGTGCATTAGTCCTTCTGGACGACAGATATAAATGATCAATTTCACATCTGGTACACATAATGGCCATTCCTGAACATGATTGGTGGCTATTGAGCATTAACACCACTTCTCATCACTGACACTTTAATCCATCAGTTATTAGCAATGGCTGTCCCTACAAACTGGCTGAGCCAACAATTCCGCTCAAATGCAGTAGCCTGTGGTGCTGGAAAGTCCCCCGTTCTGATCTTCAGTTTACTGCTATTGGATGCCCTGGTTTTCTGGCCCCGCTGTATACTGGGCCTTGACCTCTATCCAAGTTGGCACTAAGCTCCACCCCCAGAACCTCAGTAGCCAGTAGAGTTTCTGACATTGAACTGGCATATGGCACGGGTTAAGCTTGGTAATGAGGGGGGTTAGTGCTGATTTAGATAGAGGTTAAGGCCCATTGAGTTAAAGGTTAGCAAAAGGGCTTACTGGCACCACACCGCACCGTGCTGCATTTTTGGCAGTATTGGTGGCCCCTTTTAAATGAAAAGCCTACAGAAGCGGGGTGCTACCCTTGAGAATCCAGCTGAATTGGGGGGTCGGAGTTTACTGGATATTTCTTTAACCGAGAGAGGGAACTACTTTATGAAACGTTCCAACCAATAGATGAATCTGTGTAGGATTCTGCATCAATCTGTATGATATGCTTCTGCTTCGAGTTTATATTTAATGCTTTCTGCTTTGCTTTTGTTAATGTCTTCCTTTTCTAACTGCCTTTTATTGTCCTTTTTTGTACCTTCCCTGCCCCTAAAATGTTGCTATTACGTCTTGTCTCCTGTATTTACCCTTTTACCCCCTCCCTCCTTTTCCAAACCTCCCACCTTGCTCCCCTTTATCCTCTGCTACAGCTCACTGCCCTCCTCCCTGCACAGCAGCAGCTGCTCCTCCAGCAAGCTCAGCTCCTTGCCGCCGCTGTCCAGCAGTCCAATGCTGCCGCTGCCGCCAGCGCCTCCCAGTCTGGGTCTGATGCCCAGACTAACCCCAGCAGCCAACAGCAACCCCACCAACTTGCTTTGTCCCAACCCATCCACCTCACTGCACAGGTGAGCACTTTAGGACTGCCATGGCACACAGTGCTGTCTATCAGGTTCTGCTTTTGGTCAAACCCAATAATGAAGGTTTTGCTGAGGGCACCAGTCAGATTCTGTCATCTTTCCAGTGTGAGCCTCTGATTGGTACCAATGGGTAACAAAGACTGTTTTCTTGACCACATTTTGCACTCTTAAGTAGCACTCTGCACAGAGAGGCTGCTATTGCTGACTTTAGTCTGAAATTGCTAGTGGCCTGGCTGTCTCTGGTGCCAGTACTTTGAGTCACTGGGCTAGAACAAGCATGCAGCCGGTGAAGTCAGAGCTCCTGTTCTTTACGCTTGCTCCAGGTCAGTGATTTCAGACAGCAGTAAAGTCATTACATTAGTAAGATAGCTAAACAGTTAGAATTCTTTTAAAGCAAAGGTTGGCAGTAGCAGCCCCTGTACTTCTCTTAGCACAGCTTAGCATAGCCCTCTAGCTTTTGAGGGACTACGTGTCCCAGAGTGCCCTGACAGCTTGGGTCAGATGGAATTGTGTTGGCTTCTATCCTAAAGTAGTGTATGCTGTCATAATTTGATCATACAATAGTACATTGATATTAAAGAAGCCCACCCCCAGGCCACGTCTTGTAGCTTTGGATAGAGTTGGGAAGAGTTCAGATTTCTGCCAGGTTTATATATCTATCGCGGACCGCTGTTCTTGTGACATTGCTACAGGTAATGGGGGGTTTGGTTGTCACTGGGACAGGAAGGTACGGACCACAATAAAAAAACATTGTTAGAAATTCTAACCCTTCACCTCTCTACTACAAATGTTTTTGTTTGTGCCCCCTTTTAGATAAATTTGAGAAATAGTTGGTTATTGGTTATACCGAAAAATGGTTATTGCAGCCAAAATACTTATTATTCACACCATCAGATCTGTGTTCAGTGTTCATACAATATGACAGTCAACTATTAGTCCAAGAAATTATTGCCTTCTGATACTTCCTACAGAATACCTAATGGCTTGCCCCTTTTTTGACTTGTCATTTTTAGGGTCTGTGTTGATGGGTTTTTGTTTCCTTCACAACTGTTCTCCCCCCATACAGGTCTATGGGAATGCAAAAGTAGCTTGAAGCAGGTCAACTGCATGTTAGCTGGAGGTTTATGGAAGGTTTGATGGAGATCAACTGCAGGTTAGAAGTAGGTTATCTGCAGGTTAGGTCAACCACAACTTAGGTCAACTGCAGGTTAGGAGGAGGTCAACTGGAACTGCAGGTTGGAAGGAGGTCAACTGCAGGTTAGATCAACCACAACTTAGGTCCACTGTGGGTTGGGAGGAGGTCCACTGTGGGTTGGGAGGAGGTCCACTGCAACTTAGGTCAACTGCAAGTTGGAAAGAGGTCCACTGCAGGTTAGCTTAACCACAACTTAGGTCAACTGCGGGTTGGAAGGAGGTCAACTGCAGGTGAGATGCACTTAGTAATGGAATATGAATGATGTGAATGATCTCGGAAGCATTTCCAAGCTTTTTTGCTCCTTGAAATAATCCCAAAACCCATCAATACAGGCCCTCCCTGTCCCTTCCTTTTTAATGATATTTAATTTCCTGTCCACTCTTCAGGATATTCAGCAGTTGTTACAACTCCAGCAGCTTGTTCTTGTTCCCGGGCATCATCTCCAGTCCCCTACACAGTTCCTGCTACCCCAGGCAGGACAAGGCCAGCAAGGTGAGTGAAGGCATTTATATACTGAAGAACTATGAAATGTTTCTATCTTCAGTGAATACATAACCCTGTGACAGTTGTAAAGACATTACAAACATACCCAGTTTAGTGCAGACGTGATTTATTGCTGCTCTTCCACTGACCATGTTTTTGTAATCTCCAGGCCTCCTATCTGCACCAAATCTCTTCCAGCTACCTCAACAAAGCCAGGGGAATCTTATTCCGGGTCAGCCAAGGTCTGGACTTCCCACTCAGGTAAGGGAACTCTTATAGTTGAGTAAATATTTAACTAAAAGGACTTTAATCTGTAAGGGAACTTGTACTAAGGTAATATTGGGGTTACCACTGCTGACCTTAATTTTGTGGCTGCCATGCTAATCCAATGGCTTTAATACTGTCTAAGCCACTGACAGCCTCTTGTCACATAGCCAGCATTCCATAATTATTCTGGAACAAGTATGCATAATTCTGACTTCACGGCCTGTATGCTTGTTCCAGGTCAGTCAATATAATGACAAGGTAACTTGCATTCTCAGGATGAGGTTACCAATGGCAGCCGCCACCATTTTTTTTCATTTCAGGTCTCATTTCAGGATGCTATTTCCCTTTTTCAGGCTGTGCCCCGTCCCGGGCCCCAGGATGCCCCCATACTGTCACACACAGAGCCAGCGTCTCATCCCGAGGAGCCCAGTGATCTGGAGGAGCTGGAGCAGTTTGCTCGAACATTTAAGCAGCGTAGAATCAAGCTGGGATTCACTCAGGTGGGAAATGGAATGTGAATGTGTTATTGGATTGTGCTGTTGAGTCACAATGTTCATAAATGGTTGGTTGCAAAGTTTTTAGTACACTTCCCCACTGTTACTTTGGGAGGAACATGACAATTACAGGAACTAGTACAAGGAGGACTTATAGCAAAGCTGTGATTTACCCATACACGTCACAGCAAGAGGTTCACTTTAAAGCTACCTCCTCCTCAGCAGAACATGCTCACCTTTCCTTCTCTGCTCCTCGGCAGAACATGCTCACCTTTCCTTCTCTCCTCCTCGGCAGAACATGCTCACCTTTCCTTCTCTCCTCCCCAGCAGCACATGCTCACCTTTCCTTCTCTCCTCCTCGGCAGAACATGCTCACCTTTCCTTCTCTCCTCCTCGGCAGAACATGCTCACCTTTCCTTCTCTGCTCCTCGGCAGAACATGCTCACCTTTCCTTCTCTCCTCCTCGGCAGAACAGTCCTCAGCCCTGTGTAAGCTCTGACTAGTGTGACTCAAAACTTACTTACCTTTTAATGAAATCGACCTTTTTGCTTTTCTTTGCATGGCCAAAGTTTGCTTTGATTGGGTTTTTAGCCTAAAATCTGAACTCCAGCCTCCCCTTCAGTCTTGCACAGTTACACCGGTACTCAATACTGCACGTTCCCCCCCTCCCTCTTTTCTTGGCTGGAGGACAACCAGCATCATCAACTCTTTCCTCCCCACCTGACTGTCCCTGGCCCACCCCTTTTCATTCATTTAGATTTCATTTCTTTCAATCACGGAGGCCAGCGTCACATGGCGAAGTTGCCTAGGATGGTCTGCAAGCCAATGCAGCATCTCAAGACTGACATCCACCCATCAAAGCATGTTGATATTTGCATAACTCCTCCCAAGAGCCAGCCCACTGCTTGCATCAGGGATAAGAACTCATGAGGCGAGTACCAAGGCAGGGTGCCATGCTGTTTTCCTGGAGCTATGTCAGCCCTTCCCACCAGCCATGATTTGCCTACATTGTATAGAGAAACATTGATGACTCCATCTAAAATAGGATGCATAAAAACTGGTTTTATGTAAAAAACCTCAGTAGCATGTTGATTGGGGAGGAGGAGGAGCCAGGGAAGGCAATATATAAGTAGATTAAACTTTAGCGTTAAATAATCACTTTAATAAAAAAGCACATCTGTAAAAAAATAAGTCACAGCAACTAGAAAAATACAGCAAGTCCAGTTGCCTTGACTTATTTTTTACAGATATACCATGACCTAGATGAATGAGAACCTTCACAGACATATTGCGACACGTTTAATAAAAAGCCTTACATTGTAATAACTGTAATACATGTAATGAAAGTATTTTATATGAATTCCATCATTTATGTTTCACGTGCCTTTTATTTATAAGATTGGTGCTTCCCTGCAGTACCTCAGCCTGCTGTAGGGGGTGCTGTAGAGCAGATGGTTGATATTCTGCACTACTACCCCGGTATGATGTGATATCGGTAGTACTATGCTCCTATGTGTTTTTTGCCTAGGATAATGAGGACTTTGTTATCTTTACAGGGGGATGTTGGCCTGGCTATGGGCAAACTGTATGGCAACGATTTCTCTCAGACAACCATTTCCCGATTTGAGGCACTTAACTTAAGTTTCAAGAACATGTGCAAGCTTAAACCACTGTTACAAAAGTGGCTGAGCGATGCAGGTAAGACAGACCGGTCTTGGATGTAACGTATATGATATGTCTTCTGGCGCCGTTTTCTGGTTACCAATTATCAATCTCTCTGCCTAGAATCTATGTCTGTGGATAGCACTCTACCTAGTCCCAACCCACTGAGCAGCCCCGGGGGAGGGTACGAAGGACTCCCTGGCCGCAGACGCAAGAAACGCACCAGCATCGAGACCAACGTGCGCTTCGCACTCGAGAAAAGTTTTATTGCGGTGAGACAGACCATAATGATTAAGGGCAATGAGACAATTGACATACATAATATATAGAGTATCAGCTTGAGGACATGGCCACTCCAATACACGTGCGTCATTGCCGGGTATGTTGACATGCATTTTTAGTAATAATCCAAAAATTAAACATCATGCAGGCTGGGTGTGGGAGTAGAACTAGTTGGTAAAGGACGGACAGGAGCAGCTATACTGTGAGCATGGTTCCAACTTTATGCAGAGATGGGAAACTTGGCATAGAACTCTGCCCGATGTACAGGAGCTCAGAGACGTTATCAAAGTTGGCAACATTAAAGATAGTTGAGTGGGACGCCTTGAGGTTACCAAGAATTAAAATGCCGAATACTGGAGAAGTGGCCAATAAGGGGAGTGTCTCTTCATGGTGTATGGCATGTAGTGTAGGAGTAAAATAAGCCCCAGCCTTGGTGTAATTGGTAGTTATAGTAACCCCCCCAGCAATGGTGTAAGTAGCCCCAATAATCACCCCTTCATTGGTGGTCCGTGGTAGTAACATCCATAGGTGGGCCCTGTAGCACTGGTCATTGTTACACCGAGCTCTCTCCTTCCAGTCATGCCGTGTCTATGGTTCTACTGTTGAGCAGAAGTTTCTCCTGCCTGACAGTTCTGGCTTCTTTCAGTGCTGGACTGCACACCTCTGCCACATGGCATATTGATGGTGGTGGTGGTTGCTGCCCTGGGCCACCTAAGTGGTGGTAGTTGGTGTGGACCATTTAGAATCACTCAAGGTATCAGCTTGATATAAAATATCTATAGAATAGGGAAGGGTAAGATCCTCTGTCAAGTTGTATTGCCCCTACTGACCATTGTCACCAAGACAGAAAGTGAGGGACAATTCTAGCGTTGTCCCCAGAACAAGAGGTGAAGGGAAATCTTCCAATTCGGGGACCTGTCCTGAGGACAACTGTCTAAAAGGGGGATTCTCCTTCCTTTCCTCCTAAATTCCTGTCCGGGACATGTCTGGGACAGGAAGTTTGGGAAAAATGGGGACAATGGTACACAGACAGCAAAAAACAACCTGGAACAAGTAGAGGTGAGGCGCTTTATTCAAATATTCAGAAGACCGGTCAGAACGTTATAAAGCACAATGGCCGCTCTCAACAGAAACAGGATGTCCTTCAAACAAGGGAACCCACAACTGAAGATGCATACAGTATATGCGGGTCTTCAGTTCTGGGTTCCCATATTTGAGGGAATGAGATTACCAAACAAGACATCTGAACGTCCATATTACTTCCTAATTATTTAAGCCCTACAGAAGAGGGAAGGCCCTAGAGCCCCACAAGGAGCATTGGGTGTTCCGTTTTGTCACTCTATTAATAAAAGTTTTCAGACTCCCGTACTGTCTTGTTTGAAGCTCTCATTGGATATGATATATGGGCAAAAAAAGCCCCCCAAAAACTGATGGGTTTAACCCCTCCCTACCGTATTTAAAAAAAAAAGTGTTGGCTCTATATGTTGCCAGTGTCACTATATAGATGCTCATTCTCCCGGGGCACCTGAAGGCAAAAGATAGAAACTCCCATTCAGTACCAGGAAGTGGGGTGGTGTGTTTTTTTTTTTTTCACTTCTCAACCTCTATTCTCATTTTTGAGCTTTCGCCTCACTTCCTGTCTAACTGACAGGTGTCAGACATTGTGGAAATTGGGATATCAGTGGATAAAGTTGGGATCTGGTCAGCCCCTTCCCTCCCCACAGCGCCTCACTATTGGACCTCTACAGTTAAGGGCAGCCTTGCTGACCAGTAGTGAGAAGTGAGAGAGGGCAGCCACAGCTTGACTTTTTCCACCGAAGTAGGGCAGATGTCTAGTGATGTGTGCAGCCACCGGCAGGTGTTCACTTTCACTTCCCAACGAGAGAATAATACTTTTTACTGGTTATATTTATAGATCAACCTTTCCTCCTTGAAGGAAGGTTTACAAATATTTATTTAGGTTTATGATTCTTTTGCCATCTCCTTTTGGCCCTTATTGTGTTAAAGGAGAACTATGCGTTAAGTGTTTTTCCCCATAGTTCTCTTAAGGGTCACGGGAGGACATATACTAACCTCCTCCTGTGACCCAAAGCTCAGTATATCGCGAGCTACAGCTCGCGGTATACTGAGACTGCCGCAGCCATTGCTGTCGAGATCCACCCAGCTGCATGAGTGACAGCTGGCTCTGCCTATCTAGAGGCAGAGCCAACTGTACCCGCCCCCTCCCCAGTCCGTTCCGCCAGTGAGTGCTGGAGGATCGGAGCGGGGAGGGGGGATCCCTGCAGGGAGCCGTGAGTGACAGTCACAGTTCACTGCAGGGAGAAGATCAAAAAGTGAGTGAGCGACTGTATGTGTTCGCTCACTTCCCGATCTATTGAGCCGACGTGTGACAGTTTCATTGGCACGCGTCGGCTCGAACTATGAGGTAGAGTGAAAATCATTAAACCCCTTTAAGTCCCGCCCACATAAAACATTCTAGATTTAGAATCATGCCAGTAAATAAAATTTTGGAGGGCAGAGGTCTTTTTTGTTTGTTAAAAAATGACCCCAGTGTTTTGTTTTTTGTCTTTTTATATTATGGGGGAAAGAAGGGGAGTAAGTTGTGGTGGAGGAAAGATGAGTATGTCTTTTTATGCTACAAGCTCTCTGCTTTCAGAAAATAAAGAATATTTTAAGGGTTATGATTAATCTTCAGACCACAAATCTGCATTTAAGAATGTGCGCAAACAATTTAAAAAAATTGGTTTGGGTTAATGTGACCCTATTGCTTTGCTCTGCAAAGACCGGATTGGCTTCAGGCAATGTATTAAAATGTAGATTCTCTTTAATGATCTCTCTCATTCTTTTTGCTGTTCCCTTATGTCTCATCTGTTCATGACTGTGCCATTCAGAACCAGAAACCTACCTCCGAGGAGATCCTTGTGATTGCTGAGCAGCTGAACATGGAGAAAGAAGTGATCCGTGTGTGGTTCTGCAACCGCCGGCAGAAAGAGAAGCGCATCAACCCGTGCAGCAGCATGGCGCTCATCCCCACCACCCAGAGCAAAGGGCACATGTATGGAACGCATATGGTAATGAGCAATCCTGTTTTCTCAACATGGCATGGGGAAGCTGTATGGAGCACATGTGGTGACCACAGTCTCAGTTCAGACACTAAACACAGTAGTCATGGCATCTAGGCAGTGCCTATACATGGTGGTGGTCAGAAAAACAGAAACCCTTACCCAGAAGTGGGCTCACTCTGTTCATCTGCATGCGAATGTCTGTAAGCCAAGACACGGCATGCCAGTTCCACTTCTACACCTTATTTGCATGTGAACAACCCGATGCAAGCCAAAACGTTGTCTTTAGTTTTGGATAGCGTGGAGAAACTTGGAACCCCTTTTGTCTTTTGATTTTTAACCTCCTATTCTCATTTTTCGAGCTTTCACCTCACTTCCTGTCTAATTGACAGGTGTCAGACAGAATGGGAAGTGAGAAAAAAAAAATCACCCCACTTCCTGGTACTGAATGGGGGTTTCTATCTTCTGGCCACTGAAGGCATGGTAAACACAATGATAAAATATATAGAGTACGCATACAAAGTCCAAAAGGCCATCAGACCAATAAACTGAGACACCGGAAACTGTTAATATTGGTGTTTATTCAACAGCACAATATAAACCAGCCAAGGATATCCTTGAACCCTGAAACACATTGACTGTTTTTATATTGTCTTGATGAATAAACAATATTTTTGAACCAAACACCAATGTTTCTGGACTCCCAGTTCATTGGTCCTGCGCCCTTTCTGGAATTTGCATACGCGGTTCCCAAACTTCAGGTCTCCCGTTTTTAGGGACACCCTGTTTGTGTTTAAGAGCAGGCTCACTGGAGCCATCGTGCCCCATATACATTTGTTTGATCTTCTTCAATCCTGATCCATAGATGAGGGGAATCCAGCTACCTTTTTTATTTTTGAACATCTTGACTGGTATACTGGGCCTACAGCTGGACATAGACAAGATCCTCATCCCTCAAGACTGTTTGTTTTCCTCGACATTCTATGTGGGGGATCTTAGTTCCCAGTCCGAATCCAGAACAGTTTCAATTTGGACATAAATGTCTACTGTCATTGGGTCATCTTCCAAATCTTATTGGCGGTTGGATGGGCTTTTCTTTTTTTTACAACAACTCTGTTGCCAATTTTTTATACATTAAAAAAATATCCTAGAAAAGAAGATGAATACTTACAATACCTCTCCAGAAGGTGGTTAGTCCTGTCTTCTCTCTTTTGAATAACTATGGTTCTCATCGCTGCACGCTGTGGTTCCTCCCAACGGCTGCTATGTCCTGACTGTGTCTTGTAGTAACCTAGGAGCCAGCGGCTGAAACCACAGCAAGCAGTGGGATGGGGAAATGCAGAAATCCAGCACATCTGAGGGACAGATGCTGAAGATTCTGTTGGTGCCACTGGCTGGAGAGAGGTCTTAAGGGGTCTATTTATAAATGCTTTCACGCTTTCACACACCTTTTACCTGGGATTCACACATTTTTCGAACTGGATACAATTGGGAAAAATGTGTGAATGTTGTGTGAATTATTTTTTTATATATATATATATAATTTTGCAGGCAACATTTTCTAATCACTTTAATGTTAGCCAGATTCTTTTTTGTGTTCCGAGTTCAGGATATTTCATTATATTTTTATTACTGTAAGAGAAAAGGGAAATTCTCATTTTGTTATAGAAAATTGCACTTGCCCTTTAACAGACATGCGTACATTAAAGCTAGGCATGAACATGCACAGACAGTGGCAGCGATCCACGTGCCCTGCTCCATACAGCGACCTCCGTTTTACCTCCTGTCTCTCCTCTGTTTTCCTCATCCACCCTTCACGGTCTCATATCTCCTCCTTTCCTTGATCTGCTCCAGGTGCCCCCCCCGGTGTCTGCCCCCACGCTCACTTCCCAGGCTTCCAGTATTCTCAGCACAACAGGTAACCAGCCACCCATTCTCCTCGCACCGGATAACCCTCCATGCTCACTTCATTTTTCGCTGTTTACTTAAAGGCCAGTTCCACCCAAACCTGATCTGTCCCTTATGGGTAGGCATCTGAAGGTTTAATCCTGCCCCCTGGTGTCTTAGGCACTCCATTGATTGGAATTCCATGGAAAAGGTTGTGTCTCTGCCCCGCCCACAAAGCCGTAGCAAAGGTGTCACTCTCGGCTGGATTCTCCGGATGTGTTATTTTACATTTTGGGGGATCCATCTACAGAAATGTAAGATACCAGTATGTGATCTAGCTTTCTGGCTACCCTATTCATCTAAATTCTCAGGTTTCGGTGGAAGCGACCTTTAAAGCTGAAGTTTAATCTGCTTAAATTTTTCTTTCCCTAGTACTTCCCTCCCTGCTCATCAACATGCTGAGGACATTTTTAAATAAAAGCCTTCTGTTTTCATTACATAGCCTATTTTAGATCCAGTGGCATCATCTCTGTGATTCTCTATGCAATGCTGGCAGGAGGAGTCGGCAGGGTTTTGTATATAGCTTCCTCTCTCAGTACTCCTTTCAAGAGCCTTCAACCCTGATTCAAGAAATGGGCTGGCTCTTGGGAGGGGTTATGCAAATATAAAAAATGCCTTGGTGGGTGTCACTCTAGAAGAGTGGGCATCCTAGGCAGGCTGTATTTGCATTCAGAGCACCGTAGGTAATGCCCACATATGACGCTGAGCCTCTGTGATTAAAAGTACTGAAATCCAATGAATGAAAGGGGTGGCCCTGGGACAGTCAGGCTGGAGAGGAAAGTACTAGATGATGCTGGACATCCTCCAGCCAGTGGGCTCTTGCTGCAGCTTCTAATGCACATTATGAGAAGCTTACACTGTGCAGTGATATCAGAATGAGTATTTTCAGTCCAGGAGACGAGCCGGTACAACTGTGCAAGACTGAAGGGAAGGCCAAAGCTCAGCTTCAGCTCCACAGAATGGCCTACATTACTCGGAGCACTGTAGCTCAAGATCTATTTGTAGAAACATAGAAAGAATTGATGATTTATTCAGTGCACAACCAGAGTAGTTTATGGGTCTGGAGGTGTGATGGATTATCTTTCAATTGTTGTTGACAAGAGGCTCAAGTCAAATTTAGGTAAATAAAATACAGATCATGATGTATTAATGATTTACATTTTTACATCATGGGACCTAGGAGCGCCACCCACTATAGTCTGCCCGCAGAAAAAAAAAGGAGTGGGCGGAGACGAGACCAGTCACCCTGCACAAGGAGAGAGTACTAGTGAGTCTTTATTACAGGAAGTGTCAAGTTTCACACCGGATTACAGTCTAGATCTGGAACAATGTATGTAGACAATATTTGCTTATTTTGGAGTTCAGCTTTAAAATGTTTTATACAAATAATTAGGGATGCACCAATACTAGTACAAGTACTCACCCAAATGCTCCTGATACTTATGCCAATACCAGAACTTCCAGTATCAGGAAGCCAGGCGGCGAGTCATTACACACTGCCCGGCTTCCTGATTGGCCGGGAAGATTGCTCCATGCTCCCTCGTCACCTAATGACGAGGGAGCATGGAGAAGGCTTCCTGACTAATCAGGAAGCCAGGCGGCAAGTCATTACACGCGCCCGGCTTCCGTAATGGGAAAAACCAGTATCGGCGCATCCCTACAAATATTAATAAAAAGAAAAAGAAATACCCAAATCATTATCACTTCCCTTTTTAATGATGACTTTGCGATTTCTTGCCTGTTTACAGCGTCTGTGCCTCATACTTTTTCTCTCTGTTTCAGTGACTACCTTACCCTCCGCTCTGGGGTCTCTTGTCCACCCTCGTCCACCTTCCAACACAGCACCCCCCTCTGCCACACCCCCACCAAGCAACAGCACAAGCGCCAGCCCCCAAAGCAGCACTCATTCTGGGCTCAGCCTGACAGGACTTAGCCCTAATACAGGGTAAGTAATGGGGACAGGTATGCTTGCAACAACCACAAGATTCTTTTACCTTGACAGCGTTGTCCTTTAAGAGGCCACATCTGGAAAGTGAGACTCTGTTCTAATAGCTGCCGTAAGTGGGCAGAGCTGGGAACACGGGTGCAGAGATTATGCTGGCGAAAGACACAAGGAGCCACTGAGGAGTCCAATTTGTGGCCTCTTTAAAATAAAAATTGGAATATACATCATCTCATAGCAACCAATACCCATCCAAATGCCATTCAAAATAAAATAAGGGTTTCGATTTGGCTACTGTGGGCATCAAAGAAAAAGCTTATTTAAAGTTCGTTGATTCTTTCATGTTACATCTGTCTTTTAGTTGTTTTTAGTACCAGAAGTTAGACATGTCCGATTTTCAGTTTCGTTTTTGAACGATATTTGGACGGGATCTGAAATTCAGAAACAGAAATTTAGATTCGAATGTGTTCGATCTTCGGAAACTTCGTCCGAATTTTGATTCGGAACAAATCGCACGTCTCCCAGAAATAAAGCACGGTGGGTTGTCTGTTTAATTGCAGCCCTGAAGGTAGATTGTGTTCCAGGTGAACAATGTACTGTATGTGTAGATCTATATGATAAATATACCAAAAAGTGCAGATCAGATTTTAATTACTGCTGATCTGACCTGCTGATCTGGTACATTGACCTCTGTACCATATTTACGTTAAATGTTCTATTTTTTCTTTGTTATAGTAACGTTAGTTTAATATAGAACGGGAGACAGATTTGTATGGCTCGTGTAACCCTCACTCTGCGCCAGGCTGCTTCTCCGTTTTGCGGTCTATGATGCTGGCAGCAGCTGGAGAGGATCACATAGATGCCTTGTAATGTGTCTGACAGCATGGGTAGCTGCGAGCGGTGATCTTATTAGTGGCATGTCATAGCACTGCTACATAATCACCTTAGACAGCCGCTTCACTCCACTACATGGAGCAGCCTCTGAAAACGAGCGGATTATGTTTTTTATAAGCATGTATAAGTTTAAAAAAAGAAAAAGTTTTACAACGGGTTTAATAATCGTTCCTTCTGCCGCAGAAGGGACTGCTAGTCCCAGCGTTTCCTTCAAATCAGTCAAAATGTCCTTTCAGATATGGTGAAGCGCATGCACCAGATGTAAAAAAAAAAAAATGCATTCCAGGATCTCTGCAGTGTGACCGAGCATTGAGATCTTCTAGCAAATGACTGGCTTGTAGCGGCAAGTTCCACTCCCTGGTGGCATCCCAACCCCCTCTGAAAGGCCCATCGGCAGTGTTTTTATGCTATGTATTTTTATAAATACTATAAAATGGTCACATGACATGCAGGGTCCCATTCTAATCAGTCCCCAATATTACAGAGATACGCTTTCTGCATCATTACACTGTCCATGCAGGGTGCCATGATGACATGCCTTAGGGAGTGGGCCCATAATGCCCTGTACTCGAGTATGTAGAGGGAAGAGTGCAAGAGAGGCCAGCCCTGAACTGATACACGCCAAGAAATATGCCAGGTTGCAGGATGTTGGGGATATTGGGTCAGGGGTGGCATTGCTGGAGGAGGACGCTTCGCTATACGCAGGAGGAGTGACTGCTCCAGTTAGGATGGGAGCAGGATGGATAGACATGAGAGGCAGATATATTATTGGTGTGGGATTCTATTATCAGAAGGACAGACAGGGTAATCTGTCATCAGAGCCGTGAGAATCGAACAGTGTGCTGCTTACGGGGGGGGGGGCGTGTTTGACACTTGCGGAACGGATGGACAGGTTATTGGATGGGGCTGGGCATGACCCAGCTGTCACGATACACACCGACACCAATGACAAAATTGGAGGCAGATGGGAGTGTCTTAAAAAAACGAGTTCAGGGACTTAGGTGGTAGGTTGAAGAAAAGGACCTTTACAGGGGTATTTTCTGGAATACTGCCGGTGCCAAAAGCCACTACAGAGAGACGGAGGGGGTTGAGAGAACTGAACAAGTGGCTGCAGAACTGGTGTCGGAAAGAGGGCTTTGGGCTCATGGAGAACTGGGCTGACTTCTCAGTTGGTTACCGGCTCTTTAGAAGAGATGGGCTGCATCTAAATGGGGAAGGTGTAGCACTTTTGGGGTAGAAAATGGTAAAAAGACTGGAGGAGCTTTTAAACTAAAACATGGGCGGAGAGAATAAAAATGGGTATAATAAACAGAGAGCAAGTAACTACAGGGGCATTTAATATAGAGGGCTGTAATACAGGGGGGGCAGTGGACTCACTACAGTCAATCTATTTGATAATCTAATTAGTAATGTATCAAACGTACCAGGGTCAGTTAAAGAAAATAGTTGTGATTTCAGGAATGAGCAATAATAAAACTCAAACCACTAGCACCAAACTAAAATGTATGTACACCAATGCTAGAAGCCAAGCAAATAGATTAGAGGAGCTCGAACCTATGCTACTCAAAGAGGACTTCAATATAGTGGGAAAATCAGAAACTTGGCTAGACAGTTCCCGTGACCTAGGCTACCAATATACAAGGGTGTATATTGTTCAGAGGGGACAGAGTATACCATGTTCAGAAGGGACAGGGTTTGGAAGGGGGTGGCAGGGGTGGGTATATGCATGTATGTGAAAAATAGTCTAACTGTGCACATACGAAATGATATCACGACAGAGAGTTGCGATGGTGTAGAGTCTTTGTGGCTAGAACTAGATAAGACTGATTCTAGTGTGGGTGGGTGTTATAAACCCCCGAACATAAGGGAAGAGGCGGCTCACCTACATTCCCCAATATAGAAATAGAAGGGAAGCAGAGAAATATTATAATGGGTGACTTCATTTTTCTGGACATTGATTGGTCACATAGTACCGCTCATTCTATAAAGGCTGGCCATTTTCTAAACCTGTTGCGGGACAATTTCATGGATCAGGTGGTTGAGGTCCCATCCAGGAAGAATGCTATACTAGATCTATCAATCTCTAATAATACGAACTTAGTTGCAGACATAGCGATTAGGGATACATTGGGTATTATTGATCACAGGATGATTAATTTTAATGTTGAGTACTGAAAAAAAATAAGTGAGTTGGTTTGACAAGAACACTAAATTTCAGAAAGGCAAACTTCGATAAGCTGCGTCACCTAGTACATGACACCAAATGGGACAAATTATTTCTAACAATGAATACTGACGAAAAGTGGGATTGTTTAAGAATACATGGACCAAGTGCATACCGTTGGGTAACAAAAATAAAAGATGGAGAGCTAAGCCTGCATGGCTAAATAAAACGGTACGACAACACATCAAAGAAAAGAAAATGGCATTTAAAAAATATAAGATGGAGGGGACTGCGTTGGCATTCCAGAGCTACAAGGAATGTAATAAGATACTGTATGTGAATCCGGGCATCTAAAATAGATCACGAAAAGCATATCGCCACAGTCAGTAACAAGAACCCCAAAACATTTTTTCAAGATATAAACAGTAAAAAGGTAAGAAAAGAGCAGATGGGCCCAATAAAAGATGAAAACGGGAGATTAATCACAAACGACAGGGAGAGGGCCGAGGTGTTTAATTTTTGCCCTCAGTATACACTCAGGAAAAAGACGGGTTTAATGGAGATAAGAATGTGAGTAGCTTAGGGTGTAAAATATTCCAGAGGTTGACGGTAGCCGAGGTTCAACAAAGACTAGAAAAACTTAATGTGAGTAAATTGTTAGGACCAGATAACCTGCACCCTAGTGTACTTAAAGAGCTCAGGCATGTTATAGCAAGACCATTATTGCTCATTTTCAAGGACTCAATACTGACTGGAAGGGTACCAAGTTATTGGCGTAAAGCTACGGTAGTACCAATATTCTAAAAAGGTGCCAACCGGGGAACTACAGACCCGTCAGTCTAACATCAATATTATGCAAGCTGTTAGAGGGGATGATAAAGGACTATTTAGTGGATTTTGTTCGTCACAAAGGTATAATAAGTAATAATCTGCACGGATTTAGGAAGGACCGTCCTTGTCAGACCAACCTACTAACATTCTATGAAGAGGTGAGTAGAGATCTGGATTGAGAGAAGCTGGTGGATGTGGTAGATCTTGATTTTTGGCAAAGCATTTGACACAGTACCACATAAACGCTTACTACGCAAGCTGAGGTTGATGGGCATAGATGACATGGTGTGTACATGGATAGAGAACTGGCTACAGGAATGTGTGCAGAGAGTATTGATAAATGGCTCATTTTTACATTGGTATAAGGTCCAGAGTGGTGTGCCCCAGGGTTCCGTGCTAGGCCCCATACTGTTTAATCTGTTTATTTATGATATTAGGGAGGTGTTAATAGACATGTTTCTGTGTTTGCAGACGATACTAAAATTGGGAGGGTAATAGACACGGACTTAGACACTATAATATTACAAGAGGTCCTGAATAAAATGGGGGAGTGGGCAACTATATGGCAGATGAGGTTTAATGTTGAAAAATGTCATTTCATTTTGGGGTTAAAAACAGGCAAGCGGGATACACATTAATGGGTACTCCACTTGGGAATTCGGAATTGGAGAAAGATTTGGGAGTCATAGTAGACCACAGATTGAATGCCACACAATGCCAGGCTGTGGCAAACAAAGCGAGCAGAGTACTGTCCTGTATTAAAAAGGGAATGTACTCTGGAGACAAAGCAATAATTTTTCCACTTTATAGATCACTGGTTCGGCCTCATCTTGAATATGCGGTTCAGTTTTGGTCACCAGTCCAAAGAAAGGATGTCCTTGAGCTGGAGGAAGTCCAGAGAAGAGCAGCGAAACTAATTAAGGGGCTGGAGGACCAAAGCTACGAGACAAGGTTTCTAAATTTAAACTTGTTCACGCTGGAAGTGAGGAGATTAAGAGGGGACATGATTTTAATGTACAAAATGTTTAGTGGAGATGGCAAAATCGGCAATAAACTTTTTACTGTAAACTCCGTAACAAGGACTAGAGGCCACCACCTAAAATTGGTGGAGAAAAGATTTAACCACAAAGGGCATAGGGGCTTTATCTCAGAGTGGTTACATTTTGGAACTCTATGCCACAAGCGGTGGTATCAGCAGAGAATATTGATTCATTGAAAAATCAATTAGATAACACCCTAAGAGACCATAACATACAGGGGTACAGGTACTCTTAAAGGAGAACTATGGGGTCAGGGCTTTTCAACATAGTTCTCCTTAGGGTAACGGGAGGACACAAACTAGCGTCCTCCCGTTACCCTAAGCTCAGTACACCGCGAGCTACAGCTCACGGTATACTGAGACGCCGAAGCGGATCCTGACATCGATGTCGAGATCCGCCCAGCTGCGTGAGTGACAGCTGGCTCTGCCTATCTAGAGGCAGAGCCAGCTGTATCCGCCCCCCTCCCCGTCTGTTCCCCCAGTCAGCGCTGGCGGATTGGAGCAGGGAGGGCGGAATACAGCCCCTCCCCTGTCACGGCAGAGAGCCGTGACAGGATCGAGAGGTGAGCGAACGTCGGTATGTGTTCACTCGCCTCCCGATCTACTGAGCCAACCTGTGACAGTCTCATTGTCACAGGTCGGCTAGAACTATAAGGTGAGTGAAAAGCACTCGCCTCATAGTTCTCCTTTAAATACTAAAGACTACAAAGGGACTCATAAACACACATGCACACAAAGGTTGAACTTGATGGACCTGGGTCTTTATTCAACCCCAAATAATATGTAACTGGCCACCCCAAGACCAGCCTGCCATTTTAATTCGGTTATGATAGACTTGAACATCAGGTACAAAAGGAGACCTCTGAAGCACAAAACAAAGCTCCAGGAATGATCTATTCTTTAAACTTACAGTGGGCCAGCTTGGTTACACGTAATGATCATGTGTCACATCTGGAGAGCTGCTGGGGATGCTGAAATTCACTGTAGTATCTGTGCTACATACTCAGCACTGACCTGTTCCAGGTGCTGCTGGAGCGACTTGCCCTCTGTACACTAAACACAGGGAGTCACTCCATTCCATATGTCTGCCATTCAGCAAAGGGCTTGTATTTTTTCCAGTGCACACAAGGCGTTCTCTGATTGGACTAGTAGGGGCAGATGACATCACAATCGCCAACTCATCCAATCAGAGAATGATCACCACCTTGTCCAGTCAGCATCCCCAGCAATCCTCTGGATGTGACACACGGATAATTACATGTAACCAAGCTGGCCCAATGTAAGTTTAAAAAAAAAAAAAGATAATTCCTGGAGTTTATGTGAATTGTTTCCTATCCTCTACAGAGCTAAAGTTGATCTAAATGAGACTAGGATGGTTTCTTCCATTAATGTATTAAAACCAAAATTAATAAAAAAAACCCTGTACAAAATATATTTAGGAAAACAAATAGTCATATGTTTAATGCGTAATGAAGGTCCAAAGACCCGGCTCTGCTTTGTGGATGACGTTGTGTGTGCCCATGCTCTAACTTGCTTAACAGACTTGGGCTTCAGTTCAAGATATGGTCCCGATCTCCTGACCCTCCATCCTTTAACTCCTCCTGTTGATGTTGTCCACCCCCAATACTCAGAACCTCTCTTCTCCACCCACCCAACTCCCTCAAGCTTGTATCAAACGTCTCTTTTACTCCAAAAGACTAGCTCAGGTCAAGAAGAAGCCATTTGCATATGGCTAGGTGGGCCATATGGGCCCTATTGCAACCACAACCTCTGCTACCCTTGTTCCTAAGCTGTACGTGAACCGTTTTCTGCCTGCACTTGTATCTCGGTGTTGCTTTTTTACTTAACAATCAAAAGCCTATGTCTGCAAATGATTGTTCTACACATAACTGAAGAGTGGTAAGTATGCTTTACAACATTCTATGGGCTTAATTTGATAACGTGCTCAAAGAACACTAGTGTGCAGTAACTCAGGGCGACCAATCACACAGCCACTGAAAGACTAGACTATTAAACTAATAACACCTATGATAGTTATGAGTTCTAGCACAGTATTTTTCTTTGTAATATATAAAAGCCAGTGTTGAATTATCTGGCAAATAACGTGTTTACAAACCTTCCCATCTTCTCCATGTTCTTTTGGTCTTACAGGGGCACAGTGCTCGGGGTCAGTCCGGGGTTGAACCCGGCCCTCATGGCTGGAAACCCACTGGCCACCATACAAGGTTTGTAGGACCGGATGAGTCACATGATGAACTGAATGTCAAATGACCATCCATGGCATGCATCATCCCATTAACCATTGTCATGATGGGCTGTGACATTTCCACCATGTTTCATGTCACTGCGGAGGACAAATGTCAATTCCCCCGGTCAACTATAACTGTTCAGCTATCAAACTACATGTCACTAGTGCCCTCTAGTGTCAGCTGTAGGTACCTTATAGGAAATCTGTCAAGAGTCGGAACGTTTGATCTGCATATTTAGGTCGGTGATCCAGAAGGCTAACCACGCATTACGGAGCATTTCAGGAAGTGATTAGCAATGACACCCTACGTAGGCCTCTCATGACCGGTTCCTTTGAGGTCTTCAAAGACCATTGTTGCAGAGAGCCAACATCACTACTTGTAGTAGTATATGAACAGACCGCACTATCCAGAGAATTCCAATACTTCAGACTTTATTGAAATTCACAGCAAAGCCAGTGTAACAGTGGATAAAGGTGTATAAAACAGCAAATACCCCAACCAGCTACACCGCAAGCCCCCAACCAGCTGAGGTTGTAGCTGGTTGGGGGCTTGCGGTGCTGGTATTTGCTGTTTTATACATTTGTATCCACTGCTACTGCTACACTGGATTTGTTGGGAATTTCAATAAAGTCTAAAGTATTGGAATTCTCTGGATAGTGCGGCCTGTTCGTATACTACAGATATTCCTCACTTTACGACTTACCTGCTTTGCGATCACTCGCACTTACGAGCAGCTCTCCAACCGTACGTCCGGGAACGTGGCAGTGCGACGTCTCGCCGGCGGAAGTGCTGTACTCCGTTCTCCACTGCGGGTCTCGTTAAGTACTTTATTGACCGATTTACAGTACACTTACAGTACTGTACATCTGCAACACTATACAGTACTGTACTAATGCAGTACAGTACTGTATATAGTTCCTCGCTTAACGACCAATTCTATTAACGACCTGGTCGTAGGAACGGAACTCGGTCGTTACGTGAGGAATACCTGTACTACAGTCCAAGGTGCAGACGCACTTATTAGACCAGCACCATGGGAGTCCTGATGGTGGCTAAGGAATTGGAGCGGTGAGGTTTCCTTTGGATCAACACCACTACTTGGTTTCAAAAATATCAGCAAGAAGGAATACAAAATGTCTTCCCATGTACTACTGACCTACAACCGTGCCATGTACTATGATAGTTGTACTTAAGTCATAACCGGGGTTTGAAAGTTGACTGTCATTGTTGTAGAGTCGTAGGTAGTTCTACTCATCCATGGTCCAACCAAATTGTGTCTTGTGTATTCACCCAGTTTGTGTAGTTTTCTTTCACTTCATGACGTATTCTATAAAAGTTGTACACTTTATTCTGGTGTGTTGCCACTAGTCTTGTTCACTGCATTTATATTGTTGTAGTCCTATAATTTTGTGACTAAAATCTGCCTTTTAGTTTTCCTTAAGAATCGGATTAGATGGCAAAATGGGCAGAACTTGATGACCAAGTTACAGGAACAGACTATTCTGTGAAACATTTACGAAACACCTAAAAAGAAGGCTGTACAAGCCAAAATTCCATCATTTTGGGTCGTTCTAGTGGCCACAGTAAGAACACACTGTACAAAGACCTTTTTTTGTATGAAGGTTTTATGGAATATGACATTCTCCATCCATCCACATGGTTTTGTCGCAGCAACTTTTATAGAATACTGCCTCCCACTGTGTATACGTTGACCTATTGTTTTGGCCTAATTCCCCTTTCTTTTCTTTTAGCTCTGACCAGTGGTGGCTCCCTGCCACTCTCCGGTCTTGATGCCAGCGGTAACCTTATCCTTGCCAGCGGTTCCAGCATTTCCAACTCGCCTAGCCTGGTGAGTCCTCCGCTCTTCCTGAACCCTGGAGGTCTCCCCCTCATCGGCCACGGCATGGGACGCATTGCATCTGCTGGTGGCACCCCAAGCCTCTCCCCGGCCTCCACCACTTCCTCCGGAGACGCTGCCATGACCTCCTTCCAGCACAGCCCAGGGGGATCCCAGCACAGCGGGGAGAGCGATTGAGAGAAGAATCCTCTCTCCCCCCTTTTTTAACCTCCACCAGCACCCATGCTGAGTCTCTACATACCTGGGGGCTCCTGGATACCACAAGGGCGATAGAGGCATGAGCGTGTTTCCAGAAGGCGCTGCCTCTCGCCCCTTTTTATTCCTCCCAGCAAAGAAGTGATATGCGTGGAGGGGGGGGGGGGGGGTGGGCTCCAAAAAA